GGGGGGGCACCATATATATATATATTCATATATTTATGAGTGCGTGTATGTGTATATATACATATGGTGTGTGTGTGTTACACATGCATATACTTAGAGACCCTCAGAGCCCTGAAGCCTGAAAGCACTGCAAGTCAAGGCCAGAGACTTAGCCCAGGCCATGCAGGCCCGAGCTTTGCTTTAGGGGCCTCGGGCCTGCATGTGGGTGGACGGCTTGGGGGTTAGCGGTTTGTTCAGTCCCTTTCAGAGATGGATTTCCGTGATTGTAATGCGCAGACTGGTTTCCGACGATGTCTTTGCAAAACGACCGTGAAACTTGAGCTTCTGGCTCTTTGGCCTTCGATTGGCTCTTTATGTTCTTGGTGTCGGCTCTGTAGGGTTGCAGGTTCTCGGATCGACGATGGTCTACCCATCTGACTGTGCTCTGTTCTCATGTTCAGGCTAGGCTCCAATCGAAGGTGTCAACGTGCCAAGGCTCCACCACCAGCACCATCACCACCACCACGACGACGAATACTACGATTAGCCGTTACCGCCGTTTTCGCTAATCACTAATCAGGCAATGATACTGCCGCATTGGCAAGTTAGCCTCGTTGCCATCAATATTTCACATTTTGCGTCTGCAACTACTGAGCAGCTACTGCACATATATAGCTTGGTTGCAGCTAACCCTGCTGTCTTGCCAGTCTGACAATTACGATGATCGCTCAGTGGGTGTTTGCGCTCTTCCATTTTGGTGCTGTTACCACCCCCTGCCATTGGCATAACTGCCGATGCTTTGGAGTCTGCCTATGACTACGCTTGTGCGCTGGTTCATCGGCACCATCTCCATTACTATCCTGGTTGTTTTTGCTAGTTCTCATTTCCGACGACTAGTACGGCAGTGCTATTGCTGCAGCTGGTTTACAGTATGCAACTGTAATCGCAGCACTCAGATGATTATACTTGGCACGCACACTGCACAAGAAAGGAAGTGGCATCGAATCATGCACGGCAGAACACGTCAGTGCAGAGTGGAAGTCTCGATGCCTCTGAAGGCCCGCGGGGAGGGCATCGTGCTGGACCAGTTCGGCAACCCAGACAATCCTCAGGCACGGCTCGGCAGATTCATGACTGGGTTTTTCTAGGCAGGCGGCATGGTTCTTGGGATTGTGAAGAAACTGAGAACCGTAGAATCCAAATGCGATAACAGTTGTAGGCTCCATGCATCCCTGGCAAAAACCCGCCAGCCATCTTCTGCCACATGCAACTGCTCGGAGCAGTCATCATAGCAGCAATATGCATGCTTTGGAAGGCCACACTTGTCATGACGATGCGTAGGCTGATAATATCTGGAGGGTGGCTGTGTAACTCATCAAGTTTGAAGACGGGGCTTGGGCCCACAGTTCTGGAGGCGTTGAATTTCAGAGATCGTACGTCGTGCTCAAGTGACGTCTAAGCCCTAAGCGTTCAGGGCGAAGAAGTTCGGTGGTTTGGAGCTTTTGGGAGTCCAACATGTTAGTTCTGACTGCTACATGGCCCTATGTGGCAGCGAGATCCGCTCATTGGCCTTGTTTGCAAGCCCAGCTGGTGGCAAAAAACACAAGAAAAGTCGTGTTCAAGATGTGATGGTCCTACTTCCCATGTCTGCTCTTGTTCCGGTCTGGACGTTACAGGACTACCAACTACCTGAAACCCCTAGCTAGGAGGCACTTTGGGACAGCTTCCAATTTCCTTCTTTGGAGGAACCCTAACCCTAAACCCTATAGGCCGGCCCCATACTTGCGGATCGCCAGGCACACTACGAGACAACTGGGCCCGAGGTCATGAGGCAAACCGGTGGCCAGATCACCCATTTTGCAACATGGCTTAGTGTACATGCTCATGGTGGATGAGATTCCCCCCAGCCGGGCTCCTCAGTATAACCTTCGAGTCCAAATCACCACATAGTGTGACTCAAAAGTGTATACGCCCTATACACCGGTTGAGGCATGAGTTTGAGTGCTTTGGGCGTTGGTTACTCCTGGTCCGAGGGATTACAGTGGGAAGATTTGAGACCTTGTCTCGGATTAAGACATGCGCTGGAAGTCCTGAAGGTTCTTCGGAGGTGTAGAAGTTGCAAGGATGCAAGAAGAGCCACAATCTGGACTGTGGCCGTAGGAGTGGCTCTTGCACCAAGGTCTTGGACCCTTAGTTTCGGATCGGGACTACGAAGCACAATCTGAGCAAGGCCAGACCTTGACGAGCCAAGGAAACTGTAAACCCCAATTACTCCAGCGAGAATAGAGTCGAAACCACTCCCAACCCCAAACCCTAGGGAGGTTTTATTTCGTGTCACACCGGCCTCGCCCATAGACCTCCACCGGATTGTCCGAGTTGTCAGAGTGTACACCTTCAACGGCTAGTTCTGCGCAGTAAATCCAGGTGAGCTCCATGGGTACCACCGGCACGGCCATGGGCACCTCGCGCTACTTCAAGGACCTTGAAGCCTAACCCCGCATACGGCTTGTTTTCCTTTTTCAATCTCGCAAGGAAGATGACGTGTTACTGACCGGGAGCTGGTGGTAGTGATTTGTGGCGATTTCGGTGTTTGTGGGCTTGCCCTGGAGCCAGCAGATGCTGACCCTAGACTTCACATCCTACAAACAAGCCCCCCGCCCGGCACACGCCTTCACCCTCATTTCTCAATGCACCTAGTAATCAACCCTTCCAAACCCACAAAACACAAAAAGCACCCAACAATACAAACAGTAATCCAGATCACGATTCCTCAGGGCCATTAAGAAGCAAAGGTATAAACGCAATAGAACACACCCCGAAATGGAGGTTGGGGATAGTGTTAAAAGCATGAAGTGAAAAAGGCATCAGTGAAAAACAGAGTCCTTCGCATTGGGTTGAAGCTCCCCAAACAGTCAAACGAATAGACAAGAAATCGGGTCAGAGCCAATATTCTTTGGAAGACGATAAGAAAGGATATTCGAGGCATGAGTTGCTAAAGGTGTAGCCATGACTGCATTTATAGAGACTCCTCTTTCTGCCGGTTAGATGGTTGCGACATGTGTCCAAATGTAAGTATGATATATACGCGCACACACACACATATATATATGTATATATATATATAAAAGCTGCAAGACATATCAACCGATTTTTCGAGAAAAACTCCACCCCAATGAGGTATTTTCGATGTTTTCCCCGGTAAGCGGAGTGACTGATTCGAACAGCCACCTGGCTCCAGCGTCATAGTCTGATTACATGATAGCAGCCATTGCCAGTAATGTCATCTAAACCCTAAGCCCTAAAACCCCCACCTTAATAGGTTGCTCGTCTGTGCTGAATTAGTGTTGGAGAGAGGCTGTTAGTCTTTCCTTCACTGTGAGTGCTCTCTGTTCTGAACTTCACCCTGCAATGCGGGCTCGTCCTGGCTAAGTGGGAGGGAAAAAACCCCATTTTGGCTCAAGGGGACGCTCGGCACCTTAGGTCCGGAGCTGTCTTCAATGCTGGAGGCGAAAGCTTTCACTTCCTCCAAATTCCGGTTTATGGCGCGTTTCCTGCATGACGCGTGGCACCGTATTCGATGTTACAAGACCGCCTGGGAATCGCACAAAAAAGCCTGAATTTGGATGTGTGTTCTACATCCCTGCATGGATGCAACCAAAACTTTTGGCCTGGATGCTGTACAAGAATTTCTGAATTTGGGTGGGCTCCTACGTCCCTGCATGAGAAGGCAAGAACCTGCATGACACGCTGGACAACGAAAACCTGGAAAAAGGACATCTGACTCAGTGCTTGACGCTGGAATTTACTGCATGTTGCCGGAGGAGCTGGTGAGAATTTGTTACATCGCCGTCGCATGTCACTGGACAGTGAGAGAACGAGTGAGCACAATGTCTGGAGCAATGTGGGATGTCCGAATTTGTTGCACGTCGTCTGAGGATTGCTAACGAGAATTTAGCGCGTGTCGCATGAACACTCGTGATGCGGTGACTTTTCGATCTATGGCAGTTAGACGGTGCGAGCTCAGTCAGTTGTTCTAAGACTTGTGTCTACGATGTCTCTGTTGTGTTACACTTTTTGTCGGTCCAGTCTTGACTGTTGGAATACTGTGAGCCCTGCTGTCGCAGGCAGTCCATGGCTGTACTCTAGATATCGAAGCTCGGAGGAGAGTAGGGCAATGCCCCTGCTAGTGAGAGAGCCGCGAGCATTTGGGCCATATGGGTGGTGTGATGGTCTTACATGGTTCTGGTTTTACTCTCGGCGTGACGGAATTGTGTGGAACCTTGCCTGCCTGGTGCGAGTGTGAGAGTCGAAAACCTTGAGTTTGAACTTTTCAGGTTTCGGGAGGCAGGACTTCTGTTGGCACCTTGCAGATTTCGCCGGAAACACCAAGCCCAAAGCCCGAAGCTTGATTTCTTTTGCCAGCATGAAGCGCAAAAGGCCTTGCTGAGGAGAATGCTACACACCTGCTGCGTGTGTGGGGGACATGCCCCTGGAAAAGCTGCGGGACGTGCGGACCTTGAAGCAGCAATTGCAGGAGGCATGCGGATTTGACACACTTCAGGCAAAGACTTGTGCATGACAGATCATGGCATCAGTCTGGGTTCTCTGACAGATGTCTTTCGATCTGCTTTGGAAATGATTGTCAGTCGCATTTTGTTCAAAATACCTCGTTTCCAGACCACAACTGACGATTTGACAGGGTTTGAGGGAACAGCTAAGGTGCATCTGGTCTTGTTGTCCTTCGCCAACGCCACTCGCGAAGTAAGGATTGCAGAGGACAAGCTCCAAAAACTGCAAGATCCCAACCTGCATCCTGAGCATGGCCAAAGTGCCAAATGGTTTGCATCAACAAGAGGACACGCCGAAATTGCATGCCTGCCGCTGGAGCGAAAGCTGACAAGAATTGTGGCGGAAGTAAGTCTTGCACACCACTGTTGGCTGCAACCAAATACGTCGCCCTTTTGGACGGCAGTGTTCGGAGGCCATGTGGGCGTTGCCCGATTGCTTCTGGAGGCTCGTGCAAATACAGAGCACAGGCGGCAAGATGGTCCGGACAGCCTGGGTCGTATCGGTGCTACACCTTTGTGGATTGCATCGTTGCAGGGAAGAACCGACACTGTTCGCTTGCTAACTAAAGCCAGGGCGGACAAGGACTCAATGACAGCTGGATCAACGTCTATTTGCGCAGCCACTCAGAAAGGTCACGCGGAAGTCGTCCACATGCTCCTTGAAGCCGGAGCTGACAAGGACAAACATGCGCATGAGAGACTAGACGACCTTTGTGTTGAAATTTGTCGCTATCACCACTTCGTGATATGTGTCGGAAATCAAAGACGTTCGTTCAGGATACGGGTAGCCGTCCTGATCGCATGTCATCCTCCCAGCTGTCATGGTGGCCCCGGTCGAAGGCGATCCCTTTGTGGGTGGCATCTTCGCAGGGCCATGCGGAAATTGTGCAGTTGCTCATTCAGGCTGGGTCATAGGTTACGGCATAGCCCAGACGGTACATCGACGTGGAAGAGGAAGGACCCCCTATTCCAGGCCCTGCATTGATTTGCCCCATCGGATGACCTTGGGCAGGTATGCGTGTAGTGGCGAGACAGGCTCTGCTTGCCCTCCCGCGTCGTCCTCGTCATCCCATGCTGACCACGGAATAAAGTTGGTGTGTTGCGATGCACGGTGTACTCCTTGATCAGGTAGAGGAACTTGTGCTGGATCGTGTAATCGGGAAGGTTCAGGGCCGGTGCGAAGGCCGGGAAAGCTCCCCGTAGTAGGGTTCGGAGAGGAGCTCGCCGATGAGGAGGAGAAAGGCTGTATTCCAAGGGGGCGGTGTCTGGGAGAGCAGGCACAAATCCTCCTGGAGAGGCTGACCAGGATCAGCTGCGCTGGGCTGTTCATGAAGGCAAGGATTGGGAAGTAGAGCGTATGCTGGCGAAGATGGGAGCTGCAATAAATGACAGCACTTGGCAAGGATTTCGCCGGCGTGGGCATGTAAATAACTCCTCAGTCCTCAGTACACAGCAGCTGCATCAGGACATGCGCAAGTTGTGCGCCTGTTGTTGACCGCTGGCGCTGACAGACGCCAACTCTTGCACATTGGAGTTCTCTCATAATTTTGCCGACTTGGCCGCACAGAGGTGGACTATGAAGCTTCACTGGGGGTGCGGCTGCATCTGGCGTAGGGAGACTTCGCTCACTTGTGTTGTGAAGAGGAGTTGCTGTACTCGAGGGAATACCGCCATGTGCTTTTGGGAGGATTCTGTGGGCTTGGAAGGGTTGATGTATTAGGTGGGTTGGAAAATGGGACAATTCGGCGTCGTCGAAGAGACTCTGGCTCCACAAGCGCATGGGTGGCAAAAGCGCATGCCTGTCGCCTGTCGCATGGACCCACAACCCGCTCGAGCCCATTGCGTCGGCCAACTCCTTGGTCGAGGGCATGCACAGCTGGATGTTTGAGCATGTTGTTGAGAATCAAGACACGCCTCGGCATCATCTCGATGAGCACGCCTTGGACTTGTATCAGGCTGTCGAGACTGCGATCGACAACTTCAAGATGAAGGCCCGTTGCATCTCCTGTCAAGTGCCGAGTGCTATACAATACCTTTGCAGAATGTCCTGCTGATGATTCTTCACAGGCCAAGTCGCATGCGCGATGGAGCTCCATCACCGCGTCAAGGTAGCGACTTGCTCAGAGCCGCGCATCTCTGCATGCGCAAAATGCAGTTCCTGGCTTCTCATGCCACCGAGCTGTCCCACCAGTAACCTGGCTATAGAGACTTCAGCCCAAGACATGTGGCCGCGTTTGGCCACGCCGTAAGCTGCTCTACATCGCACTGTAGGCTCTCCTTAGGCTCGGGGTAATAGCGTGTGGGGAGGCTAAAGGACGTGAGGCCTGGGGTCAGCATCTGCCTGGTTTTTTGGCCTTCGATCCCAACCTTTAGCATCAGACCAATAAACTGTCAACTGTGTCTTTCCTCTTGTTGGTTTCTTATTTTTGATCTATGACACTATAAACCGCGACAGGGCGTGCTCGTAAGATCCTTCCGCGCTGAATCGCACAACAAAGGAGTTTGTGGGCACCGACAACCCCCCTAAACCCTAAACCCTACAACACCCCTTTGCTGCATTTTCGCAAGCAAGAATGCCTGGTACTGTAGGTAGCCACTCTTCCGCCAGCTAGAACTGTGCCCCTACAACACCCTAAGACCCTCAAGCCCTAAACCCTAAGCCCGCTTGAAGTGCAAGCGCCCAGGAGTTCAAACCCGAGGTTCAGATCGTCGGACTCCAGCCGGCCACAGGCTCGGAGGGCTTCGCGACTTCCACATGGGTAGCTCTCTAAATTGGGGGTCCCTTTTTCGGTGACTAATATAGCACGGCACCCTTATAAAAGACGAGCCGAAAAGGGACCCTAGTTTAGAAGACTACCCACATGGTGCTGCTAGCTGGCAACTGATTCGAGTTTGGGCTGTGTAATTAGCTGCAGAATCACACTACAAGCTTCCAGAGAAACACTCTGAAAGAGGGGGGGGCCAGCAGGCTTGCAGCATGCTAGTCAAAGTTCGCAGTTCTGGGTTCAGGATTTCGTTGCGGCATTTTAGTCTTCAAGTTTTGAGGCCGTCGGCAGAAGGGCAGTCCGTTTGTTTATGAGCTTTAGACTCGAGTCACAGGGAACGAAGATACTAAGGTTCGGCACGAGTCTGGTGGATTTTCGGTTGGCAAACAGCCATAGATCTGAGGCGAGACAGCAATGACTTGCCCAACATGTCGAGAACGTAGGCATGTCTGTAGCGCTGAAGGAGAGATAATGAAGAGCAGGCGCGCAAATTCCTGGCATCCGGCGGTGGCCGAAGGAAGCATTGCAGAACTTTGTTTGGAGTGGCTTCAGTTTCGGGCTGTCCGGCTGTTGCACCGGGTGATGCCACCTTGTGATGCAGTGCTTTCTGTGGCAGCACCTGTCGAATTGCTGTTGCCTTCAGGTTCAGATTTTCGTCACAGGGCAGTACGTGCTGTTTGCCAGCAGCCCCTGCAGAATCGGTTGAAGCCCGCGAATGCTAAACGGTGGACCAGTATCTCCAATAGATAACACCCGCCCGTCTGAGTCCTACTGATCCGTTCCCCATTTGCCGTTCCCTGCTTGTGCCATGCAGAGCAGGGCACAGGGCAGCAGCAGGGCAGCAGAACACAGCGGGCCAGAACAGCCGCGGCAAGGCACAGGTAGGGCACGCGAAGCAGGTGCAGGGCAGAGGGCTGACGTATTGACAATGTGACAAACCTATTTGAGGACCATGCCTTCGAAACAAAAGTAACCAACCCCGTGCGGGACTTGCTCCTGCAGCTTCAATACCTGCACTGCCGAGGAATACTTGCCGGGCATTTTCGACGAAGCTCGCCTCGACCGCGTCATAGACATTACCCAGGTCCAGTATATTCATGAAGAGCCATTGTCAAAATGCCGAGCTCCTCAAGTTTTTTGGGGCCCTGGCGATATCGACTTTAGCAGATTGCAAAGGTTTGCTGCGAATCAGTGTCGCATGCACTTTGCTTACCACGATGTGGTGTGCCTGTCCAGGCTTCAGGATTTTCTTTTAGCCGGTGTGTACAGTGTCTTGGTAGTTGGTGCTATACCTATATTAATGCTCAGGATAGGTTTTAGCCAGGCTTACAGTGGCATAGTTGGAGCTATACCGACTACCTAATCATGCGTACAGCTGCCTTGTTTATCATCTGACTTGCACATCACCCAAGAACCTACCTCTAATTCAGGGGAAGTCTTCAAACGAGTTGGTCGCAGTTCAAACGCAGGGTTATTCAAGTAGACTCGGCAACAGGGTCTTAACTCAACTGAGTGACGGAACAGCAACCTACGAATGGCGCATTCATTGCAGTCCCCGGCGCGGCCTAGTACTCTGGCGACCGAAATCCGAAAACGTTGATTCTGGGTTACAAAACACGTCAAGACCCGTATCTGTGAGTGTGGGTGTACATAGCATAAATAGGTGGTTTAGGGTTCTTTTTGCAAGGGTGCCGCTTCAATCCGGGTTCCTACATAGGAACCCAAAAATTCGAGAACTAACCACATGATGGAGGAAGAGGCGGACGAGACGGCGCGGCAGCTTGCCATCCAGGACTCCGAACCAGAAGCTTGGGGTGTTTGAGGAGCAGCAGGCTTCGAGCTTTTCGTGGGTGCTAGTTGGGGGCAGGATGCAACCGGGCTTTGCAAATCACTGTGCGTGCACATATGCCCATGGCATAGTCAGAGGCCTTCTCCCAAAATCGATAGTGACAGTGTCAAGCAACTAAACCCAGTCTGACACCAGTAACATCCAGTAACATACTGTTCAGTCACATCCACTGCATGGCGTGTGGATATGGGATCGTCTAGATCTAGGAATCTAGGCCTGGATGTGGAAAGCACCATATGGTAAACACGCGACACCCGTTGTAAGTGCCAACCCACTCCGAAACTTTTTAGCCCCCCAGTCGTTGCTTAGCGAGTCAAAGCCGCTCGCGATCTTCGAAATCGACACCAGAGAAATTTCTGGCCAAACTGATTGAACCTGTAACCGGAAGCCTCCCATACCACCAAGACCGCACCGATAACCTTCTAGGGGCCTGCATAATCAGCAATACTATTTTTGGGACTCCTGATGTAAATTATTGTATAACATACTCCAAAGCTTATTCTAATCATAAGACCCTATATAGGCCCTATAAATCACACTTCAAACTACAATCGAAGGAGGGTCTCTTCGCCGGGGTCAGTAGTGGTGGTGCGGTCTCGGCAGCCTTGAAGATCGCGCGCGAGGTGACTTGGAACTTTTCTCAAGCTTGGGGTTCGGAGTAAGAAAGGTTGAACCTTCCATACCTTCCTGATGTGCAGGAATCCCAGTTACAACCCTCAAAGCGCTTAGTTTTGACATATTTTGACTGGACCGGGGACACTGACAGCAGGATCCGTCTCAGTTCACGAATGCAGACAAGACAAATTGGACAAGAGGAAACAGAAATAGAACGAACGTATCAAAGCATGCGTTCATTTTCGATTGTGATCGTGCATTGGTTCTGCTAAGCTTTTTTATTGGCTTCGCTCACTCCTTGTCTGTTAGTGAAGCACGCATTACAATGTGGCGAAAGCGGAAGCATGAGTCCGTGCTTCAATTACATGAAAAGCCATTTTGCTGTAATGTATTTGAGGGAGCACACGTAAAGTCGTCCGTCTGCTTTCCACTGATTGATTCACTATGGCTACTGACATGAGCCGGGAACGTTATCAGATACCATTTGCTGCTTGATGTGTCGCACCATTACTGCCAAGGAGCCGGGCAGAGTAGTGGTGTGCATCGTCTGCGACCGTGGCGATCGCTACCTCAGCACCGGTGTCTTCGCTCCACCACCACCTTTGTATCACAGCATCTTGCCTAGAATCGTACACTGTGGGGTTTGATGCACTGCTCTGCAGACAGCTGTGCGGCCTGCCGAGCCGGAAAGAACGAGCCCTACCTGCACCCTCAACCGAGGGCTTTCTTTCGAACTACACGCCGGCCAGTAGTCTGTGATCTAGGTTGTACATGGCCTTACAACAGCAGCCAGCAGCCCACCAAGCGCCTCGTCGGAGGGCACGTCGCACTCTGCAAAGTCGCCGGCGTTGGGTTTCATGATTGCACACCGACACACGGCTGGGGCTCAGATCTTGACATCTTGAGTTGCCACTGTACTTCTGTAAGAAAGTCATGGCAAACTGCCATGCGATGTGAGTTGGACGTGGCGTCCAGTTAAAAATCGTTGTACAGGCTTCGAAGCGGCTCGCCCAACTGAGGAATGAAGCACGGTTTTGTATGTTTTCACATCCGTGCCAGTGCATCCTGGCAGGTTGCATTTCGGGCAACCTCGATCTGACTTTGCAGAGCTACAGGAAGACCCTCTCGGATCAGCACGCTCCGATCTTCTTGCTCTTTACAGCCCCATGGTGCCCCGAATCTTGGCTCAGAGCTCAGACGCTACGAACCACCTGAGCTGGCCCTGGCTCATCATGACGGGATGTCACGGAGGCGTGCATGGCAACATTTCCGCCCAAAGTTTGCCACAAGGTTCTGTTTGTTCCGGGTCGTGAACAGTGCTACCCGCTACCCTTGCCACTGCCAAGGCCGAGTGCAATGCACACTTCCTAGCCCCAAAAGACATGCGTGTCAACCAGGTATATGTCATCGACCGGGTATCTCTTGATAGCACTCCATAGCCACACCTCTTTATTTAAAACCACATACTTCTGCTGGTTGCCAGCACCCATGGGTATGTTCCTTCAATCTACATCGGGGCTTACCCGTTGGAAAATAGAGCTCACGAGGAGTGGCTTTGCCCATTGGAGCCTAGGCCCTGCGTCCGGGCGCGTGGTCCATCATGAAGCAAAGTAGTCTACTTGAGGTTTGCGGCGCTGGAAAGAGTCCCATTTGTCCTCTTACACTATTTACGGTTACCCGAATCCAAACATGCCAATCCATACACCTTCACTGTAGCAGCCAGTGCATCAATTCCAGGATTGCATCACGGCTCTACCTGTCATCGATGGCCTCTTCGCCACACACGTGCGAGGTGGCTCACTTCTTCGGTGCATGGCTGCATTAGTTTGCCTCTTAACGTTTGTTTCAGGCAAAGATATCCAGGACACTGTTGTTGTGGAGACCCGAGCTTTAGCCTTTGGAGCAGTCAAGCTAGCTTGACTTGAGGTCGGGAGCTTAGAACTTAGAAGCAACTTATTGCACCACCGCCGTCCCAAAGTCGCTGCGATACTTCGGATGCACCAACGGATTGTAGTCTAGTCCTCCTGTTTGTCCCAGACTGCAGCGTCCAAATCTACTTATCTCAGCTTGAATAGAGCATGCACAGGCAAACTTTGCATACATCGTCTCTTCTTGAGCCTACATTTTGCTTGTTTTGCATCCCTCGGATGTCAATTGTAGTCCCTTGTTTGGTTCCTGGCTGTCCTGGGTAGTTCCTTCTGTTAGAATCCTGTTTCTTGGATCCCTCGAAGATTATGCCACTCTTATAATAAGGACCAGAAGTTTGAAAGGGACTTCTACTCGAAGCGTGTAGTGAAGCTGGGGGTTCCAGGCCGAAGAACACCGATAACACGCTCAGACTCCAGGTTTCCGCGCAAGACATTGGGGCTTAATTAGGACTTTAAGGCTTAGGGCTCCCTAAACCAAGCCAGATGCAAAAAGGGTTGGAGGGTTCATCACTCACCCAAGCTCAACCGAGAAGAGGGTCAAAAAGGAAGTCTAGGCCTTCGACATCGACCCGGCCCCATTCAACTTCCTTGCTAGACGAACCGCAATCTGACCTCAAGAACCTACGCTGCTGAGGTGCATCGTGAGCAAGACTCGGGAGGAATGGAAGGCAGAAGAGAAAGCTCCTTTTGGAAGAGTTTCGCTTCCCAGGTTGGGGGCTTGCACGTGCTCAGATGGATTTGGAAGTGGGCATGCGCATGCATGCGCGGAAAAGTTGACTCCAGGTTGAATCCTATAATTACCTCATGGAGAGATCCTGAAGTCTAAGACACCTCATCACCGTCAGGCCTCCAAACCCTACGCCGCTCCGTCGGAAGGATTCAGCTCACCCTTTGCGGTCCGACTTGCGCTGGCGGGAGACTCCATCCGCGCCGGATGCTGGTCTGGCGGCGGTGCCGACCCTGGCGTCGCTGGACAGCCATTGTGTTCATGTCCGGTATGGTAACAGTCATGATGCGCAGAGAGTGTGTATGGCGAATGGCGAATGGTAGTGAGTGTTAGCCATTATAGGTCTGTGTTGCAGGTAGGGTTTTAGGACTGTAGGATTGGGAATGAGCGAAGACGCGGATGAAGACTGCTCGTGTTCATCCTGACGGTGGCTGTCAATAGCATGACTTCTGCCTTTGATGTCTAGTGGGTGCTGGTCTTGTCGTTGTCGCGGGTTGTCTTTGTTGCTACTTGCAAGAAGCACATTGTCAGTCGCGCTCCTACTCTCGCTATGTTCATGCTTGTCAGTACTTGTCATTGTCATGAATGCCATCAACATTTACCTCTCACGATTATCATGGCGTGCTGTAAAAGGCCCCGACAAAAGGTGGGCTTGTTTGCTCGAGTTATCTACGACCCTTACTTCTGTTCCACACTGCCGACGCAGTGTTCGTGACATCACAAGCACTCGACCCAAGTCACCGGACATAGGCCGGTGTGCCACACTTCTGACAATCATGACCCTCCGGAACGAAGTGCAATCGTAGTCCGCTGTCATCCCCAAGCCCATCCAAGCCCAGAGCCCTAGAACCGGAGCAGACATTCATTGTCGGACCGGGAGACCACAGAGAGACGACCAAGAGACCAGCAAGTGACGCCCACAACCTTCAGACCACGAAGATCCCCGAGAGACCAACAAGAGACCACCAGAATGCTTTCCCCCTAGTACTGGCGCAGCCAGAACCATGCCCCGAATGCTTTCCCCAAAGTACTGGCAGGATGCAGAAACATTCGAGAACACAGCGGCATCGCTTTCCCCCTCGAACCTGGATTAGCCTCGCCTGCATTCTTCGAGTCGTGAGAGTCCAAGTGGCGGCTCCAGGACTGGCGCGAAACTGCTTTGCTCGAAGTAATGTAGGGGCCTTAATAATTGGAAGAGGATTTTGAGGCTTCTTGAATATAGTTTTCGTATAACACACCCCCAAACCCTATTCTAATTATTAAGGCCCCTATACTATACCGGCGCATTTCGGGAGCAGGACACTTATGCTGTTTGCTTCCCCCCTTAGCTCGCGCGATCCGAAGAAACACCCCGAATCGTGTCCCCCAAGTGCTGCTGTTTTCGAGAGCCAACAGTGGTCCATGTTGTATGGCTTTTCAGGAATGCTAGGTCCGGGGCGCGCGCGTCAGGCCAATCATCTGCAAATAATCGGATGCCGGCGAAAAGTGTGCACTGCAGCACCACAGCGGGAGACGTGCATCGTGAGCATTCTGTGTACATACTACAGGGCGATGGGACCAGATTTCAAGCAATTGACACAAAGGAGCCATTTTGCCGAGGCCACTTCGATCAATACTCTTTACACTGAACTTAAGACCCCCATAGTTTTACCACACAGCCCAGATACTTGGGAACAGCTGCCGATCCGCTCGCCGAGCCAGTCATCCAAGGGCGCCTGGAGGGGCTCGATGCTCCGGTGTTCTCGTAAAGGCTTTTGGAGTTAAGGACCAGGGGTTAAGGGTTGAAAGTGTAAGGATATAACTTATGTTTAGTGGTTTGTCGCCGCATCCCTGTTATCTGCAGCACTTCTCACTGGAAGGGTCGCTAATTAACCAGGGGTGTTCCGCAGGTCGGAAAAGTGCGTGCAGTCAATGAGAAGATGTCGTCATCGATTCATCGTTGGTTCTCTCTCAAAGCCAAAGGTACATACAATGTGTACCCGTGAAAGCAAGCCATACCTGAAAGCTTCCTTGCAATGACCAAGGAAGCAGCTGAAATCCAGAGCAAGGTTGGGGCCTTCCTGAAACAGCACGGATGTCGGTTGGAGTGAGCCTCGCGAAGTTTCTCGTTTCAGCAGGGATCGCGACGAGGAAACGGCCCCATACATCAGAAGACCATAGTATCATGACACACCAGATGCACTCAAGCTACTTCCAATTGATTTACGATTTCAGGAGCTGGAGGTTTGATCCAGCCCATGTAAATGGGGGTCCAGGTCGCAACCTGCTACGTATGGCTACGTAAAGATTGGAGCTCAATTTTCCATTCCTTTTGCAAAATGGAGTCCTGTGCTTCTACCACAAGTTGGCACATGAAAGACTGGCACAAATTCTGTAAATCTTGTCAACAACTCGTCATCAACCCATCTGGAGAATGGAAGCTGAAGCATCAGCTGATCGTCGGCACAACCACTTCAAGCTTGTTTGAGACAGAAGGGGGGACCTACCTGATCCCGCTTTTAGACGTGCATGCTCCCGAAAGCTTTCCATGGTTAGTGGCTAAGGGGCTATGCAGGACGCCCTGTGGGCGAAGGGTGTAACTAACTTCCGAGTCCCAAGCAGCACGAAGATTAAACATCGGCCAGGGTGTTGATGGAGCCGCAGGGTGCTACGTTCATTTCTCGTGACCTGCGTGTCGGTGTGCTTACCTTTCGACCATTACGCATAAGTTTCAGAAATACCTGTCACGGTGAAACTCACACTCACTGACTCCCAGAACACGTACAAGGTTTCGGCATAACTGCAATCAACACTGTGCCTCAGAGCATCAGAAGTCGGCAACCAGTATTGACCCGAATTCTTGTTCGCATCCACTTGCTCTTACTAAACTCCTAAACCCTAAACCCCCAAACCCTAAACACTCCCGAGTTGTGAGAGCGTAAACACTTGCCAACATGGTTTGAAATCCCGGCCTTTTGTGGTAGAAGCCCGGTTCCGCTCAGCCCCGGTCTCCCTTCGCGCCTGTCTGCACGTGGCTTGGGGCGGCTGGGGTTTGCTCTGCTTGTGGGTTGAGGGTAATAAACTGGCAGCAGTAGTTCGTGACCTGAACCGGCCGTAAAAAAATAGGCAGGCGGCGTAAATCAAGAGTTTGAAGGCTTTTGGAGGTGTCGAAGGAATTGCTTGCTTCCAATTTTAGGTGCGAGGATGGTATCCGAGCAGACGGATTGATGAGGCAAGAGCAAGATCTGGACTCTTGTAATACTCAGTATGTGTACTGTTCGTTCCCTCTCCTAAATCAAACCAGAATGCATCACAATGTGATTTTGAGGCTCGCTAAAGCATCAGAAGTGTGAAGACCGAGGTGCTGACAGCCAGTAGAATACATGTTAGAACACGATGGCGTGAAGCCCCAGCCGGCCTGTGCCCGCATCGCAGCAATTGTCTACGCACAATAGCGTGAGGAGACCGGAAAGCTGCCCCGACGGCGTTTCGATGAAAAGTTCTGCGGGGGCTTGCTACCGTTTCAGTTTGCGGAATGTCGACATGTTTCGATTTTAGAATTGATCGGTTCGATGGCTTCTTGATGTTGTCTAGGCTGGCTCGTTCCGTGTGCTGATGTAATTAGTGACTCAGGGATATTCTTATTGAACTGGTCTGATCCACCCGCAAGGTTGCGAATACTGGCACAGGGTTGAGTAACGGGTAGCCATGACAGACCCGAAGGCCTGAACGCCCACTCTGCAGGTGCTCGGGCTTCAATCTTTAGGATGGTCTACGAATCATTCGAACTGTGGGCATGCTACGCAGCAAACACTGGCCTGTCGGCGCCTACCATCCGAAGGATCCGCGAACGCTTCGGCTATCAAAGATCAGAACTCAGGGCGAACAGTCAGTCGTTTCAACCAGTAAAGTGGTTGTAAGCGAGGTTAGGCTCGGAACTCTGTTTCAGGAACCTTTGTCGCGCGATGCAGGGTTTAGGCTCGGTCGGGCACCAGATTAATGGAGCATAAGGGCCTCGAAAGGTATCCGGACGCTGAGCGACCTCCATCTCGCTAAGTTGTGACAGCCAGCTACGATGTACCACAGCTCGAACTGAGCCAGGTCCCATCCCGGCATTGCTCAAGGTCGGGGCGCAGTGCGAGTGAGCGTTACATCTCGCACTGCTTTGCATGCTTTTTTGAGCCCCAGCAACTTGAACAACCTCCCCTTGCGGCGCGCACATAGTAATTCTTTATGTCTGAAATGTCATGCAGAAGCTTTGGATCTCGACTGGGCAAGACCTGTCGATGTAGCCGGAATGCCAGCACCACTGAAGTGAAACTTAACACTGAAACCGGAAACAGTCCTGAAAATGAAGCCTCAAGGCAGCAACCTGTAGAGTTGGCAGGTTTTCCGGGGTGGTTCTCGACTTGAAAACGAGCTCCTGTCTACCGACTCGGCCACTGTGGCCTTCTGCGACAGCCAGTACGGATCTTCCGTTCTTTACTGCTCCTTTGACCCCCCCAGGACTGACGCCCTGTAATCTCGAGTAGTCGCTGTAGTGCGCAAAAATATCAGAAGAAACATGAACCGCGTGGCATGGCAGCTCCAACCAGTAAGCTAGAATGCACTGGGCAGTCCTTTAGGGTGTTTTGTTACAGAAGCACCTGTGGCTGCTGAGAGATCTTTGTGGGTCTTTTTGGCTGCAGGATCTCGTACGTGACATGGACAAACTCGTGGCCATGTGGACTGCGATCGAGATTGAGGTTGGAGTAATGATGATGTTTCAACCATGTGAGCAATGAATTATCACTTGCTCGGTCTGTGAGAGAAGGGTGATTTCGCAACGCTTTGCTGCGATTGTTCCTTTGTCACTTGTCATGCTGAAGCCCCCCCCCCCTCCCGCCCCCCGCCCCCCGAATGGTCCCAAGCCTCTGTCTCGAATCTGCAAGCGGTCGCAGGCAATGCCAAAAGGGCTATACCAGGCCGAGTTCAAATTCTCCGATGAGTTCCGGCTTAGGAGACAAATTGCATCTGCGGTTTACTTTGGAAAGCCCCAAGCCCAAACCGCTGCAGCAGCCGACTTCAGGATCTAATTTCGAACGGGAGGCTTCCACGCGCACATGCTGCATGTATTTTGTATGTATGTATCTATGTCTATGTATGTATGTATGTATCGATGTGCACAAATTCAATCGCGTATGTAGCTTGTATGTAATAGGCGATAAGTATGCTCACTGATAGAAGCTGCATGTTAAGTACAGAGTCCGAAGTAAACTAGGTCTAGGTGCAGCAGTAGCAAATGGCAATGTGCGAGTTTGAGTCTATGAGAGGCTCTAATATAGACCCAACATCGTCGGATCGTAGTCGAAGGGACCCCTTGACTGTCCCTACACCTCCCCTAGACAATGCAACCCTTTCTTTAAAGAAGCCACTCATTCGTAGAATCTTGAGGATAAGGGGATAAACAACAAAGCTTTGCTCATGCAGACATGGCTGAGGGCTGCTTTTGGGGTAGAGCGTGTCGAAATCCCGAAGTGGATCTAGTCCAAGCCAAAGTCCATTCCTGAAGGTCACGGGTCTGTGGGCAGTACTCGGTACAGGTGCTTCGTGTTTACAGACTTTTGCCATGTCATGAGCCTCACATGTCTTCCCTACTTTCCGCAGCTTGCGTGGTTCTTCCAATTGTAGCCATACGTTCGCAGGAACGGGAAGCTGCCAGAGGTGCCGATGCTGCTGGCTCTGGGCATCGTTGCCATTTTATCGCCAACGGTCGCCCTGGGTTACTTGTCCTTCGACTGCCCGTCTCCATATGGAGCCCTCGATCTCGATGTGAGGACGGTCGTTGACCTGAAGCAGAATGCCGACATGGTGATGGATAGCCGATGGGCGGTAGATCCGGCCACGCCCCGGTGGATGCCAATCCTTTACCAAGGCACAGTGCGCGCGCAGGGCAAGCGCAAGCTGTTCGGAGTTGGCGAGTTCCTTGACAAGGGTTCTGTGACGGAGCATTATGCGCAGAGTTTCGACAATCGCCCACATCCAAACTCATGCCAAGACACTTGTCTCTTCACCTTCTCCAGCTCCTCAGACATGACAAAGGCGCGTGTTCGCACAGTGACGAAGGATGATGGCAGCCAACACCTGCAATTCGAGTCACAGTCCGGGAAGGAGCTTCTGTCCTGCCCCAGCTCGAAGAAGCAGAGCACTGAACTGTAGAGAACTTTGCAAAAGCTGTGCGTAAAAAACTGCGTGTTTGCATGGTTGGCTTTTGGGAGGCAATCTGGCTTCGAGCTTTGCTGCGTGGCATGTATTAATTATAGGCAGTTATTTCCCCAAGTCACTTAGTATACTTAGTTAGGCTTACTTATTTCTGCTAGTTCTGTTTTTTTGCTGGTCGTCCAACGAAGGAACACGTGTAGGTTAAGTCTTCATCTTATACCTGACCCATCACATGCGCACACGACCGGTTTTGAGCTTGCTACACTTTCCCCCAAAATGGGACCCAAGACCAAGGGCCCTAAACCGCAGCTACCGACCTGGAAGGCCATCATGTCAGGCATTACCGATCTGGTGGCGGCTTGCTTGGCAGCCGCATGACGCAACAAGAATTCGGCGTTTTGCGCAACGCACTTTGAGATTTTTTGGGTGTTGCCGATTGTTGGTAGGTACTTCTGCTTGATGGAATTTGCATGGCGTTTTGGTAGGTAGACGTGTGGACAGTACTCGTGTCCGCAATTTCGGGTCCACGTAGACTTTTCGTATCTCTTGATGACAGTATTCCAGATAATCGGCGTAAGCCACACAGGCAGGAATATGCTGGTACTTTAAGATTTAAGATACTTTAAATGTTTTGCACCTCTATGTGTATTGTCTATCTCTTGTCGTACATGATGGTAACCGTCTGTCCGGGACCAGAGCTACCGAGGTCTGCGGAGACAAAGAGAGTGTCATCGCCAGAGTGCGGGATGAAAGAGGCGCTCGGCGTTGTGTTGTGGAGTGTGATGGTTTTGGGCGTTGGATCCACAACCCCGGCTTCGAGTTGTAGCATGCGGGGTTCAAAGGAAGAATTCTTGCTTTCACAGTGGACCGTTCGAGTCACCCTCATTACAGCATTGGACGAGCTTGGCTGTGCCGGTATCAGTTGCGCAGGCTACAGCCCTAGTTTCCACTACTCTTAGCTGGCCCGGGGGTTTGCGGTTTAGAGCTGCGGCCTGAGTCTCATCCTGGTCTCAGGTTTGCCGACTCTCAGGGACCCCAAAATCTCAAGTTGGGGGACCGGTGCTGCGAAGACCACTGTTTGGCGTAGACAGAATCTTGCAACGAGTCGGGCTTTGCTGCTGCTGGTCTAGACTAGACTCTTTCTTTGTAAGGCAGGTGCAGCCTGTGCGAACTGTGTTGCCAGACAGATGTGAGTTTAAAGCTACGTGCAGACCCAGCGACTCTTGTGATGCGGCAAGCACCAGCAGGCAGCAGTTGAGTTGTGCTTACGAGGGTGTCGAAGCAGTCCCCGGCTGGTTGACGTGGCACACGTTCACACACTGCCCTTGGCACGCCAAACCGTACACGATTGAAGCCGAAGCCCGAAAATCCAGAATTAAAGCCGATCTCGAAGGATCGTGGGTTGACCGTTCACAGTATTGCATCATCAAGCTTCTTCAACATGCCGGTGTAACTGCGCCACACCCGAACCCCCAAAAGGTGGCAATGCCATCCACTTGGCTGCGATCCACGGGCACTGGCAAGTCATCCAGGCTCAACCTGTTTGATGGAAGTATGTTTTGGGGCTCGGACCATGGAAGTTAAACACTTTTTGCTCGGAGCATGTGTGGCGTTGCGCGACATGTCTATGTCTGTGCTTCACAGTCGCTAGTGTCGCCTGCATGTTGCACACCGTACCATGCTAAATTTGCGTGTTGAGCAGGACGTCTTTAGTACCATGAAGCATACACTCTCCTTGTCAAAGAAGATCGGGGGCAGTTTAGCCAGGCTGACTGTTGGCAGCTTCAGACACAGAGCGCGGTCTCGCTGGGCATGCCAGGTCTTGGTAGACAATGGGGCCGATCTTCACGCCGTGAACGACCACCAGCATCTTGCATGCACTAGGCTCGATACGGCTGGGCGGCACATTTCAGGCGTCGCTGACAACCTCGGACTCTAAGACAATATGCACCACAAGTGTTCGATGCTGTGTCATGCGTTCTTGTGTGTCCTAAAGGCTACGTCCGCTGTCCACTCTAAGATTTGTGCGGCGCAGATCGTGGGTGGGAAGCGGGTCAAGTTAGGGGTTTCGAGAATTGAAATGAGAAGGGGCTATGGAAGCTGTAGATGATTGAGCTTCAGCTCTGAACCTAACCGTCTAAAACCGGTGGTTCAACGACTCTGCCGGTTTCTCGCGAGTAGCATTTGTAAAGGGCATTGCTTTTGGTTCGCCACTCCAGGCGAGATACGGCAGGAATCAGGTCATCCCCATGCAGGATTTCGGCTCGAATCGAGCCGATGATGGGACCCAGTACAGAAATCCGGGAGGGCTCGGCTCGACTCCTTGATGCAGAGGCAGAGATCCCAGAGGATCGCCCGAGGTCCCAGAGTCTTGAGAGGGTCGCCCGGAATTCGGAGAGCAAGAGGTCCGATGGGGAGGGAGGCCTTAGCTATCAGCGCAGCCTTGATCCTCTGGAAGCCAACATCTACTTGGATTCCTTGTTTGGGCCCCTCTTCTACAAGCTGGACCGGATAAGGACGGAGGGGAAGGCCGCAGCAGGCCCCAGGTTCTCCGACTACCGGCTCGTGAGTGTCTTCATGTTGCTCAACATCTTCACCCAGCTTTCCATCGCCTTCAAGATCTATCAGGTGGGGGATCAGACCTATGGATCCATCAGGGACAGCTTGATGGGCACTACATGTTGGAGAGTGTCGCGCCACCCGGAACTTATTGGACTTGTCTATCCACGGAGTTGGGCAGGCTTGCATGACCCCTGGGATTCTGATTTTGATTGCACTCCGCCGGTGCTCACGCTGTCCATTTTCCCTCACAGTTTGGATACCAACAATGATGGGTTTTGGTCGGTCGAAGAAGTGAAGGATCGGCAGGTGCTTATTGAAAGCCTTGGGAGCACCATGGCCAAGGAGATCAACAACACCATGTTCAACATGGCCGTGTATGATGAGAAGAACCGTGACGGCTCGCGCAGTGTGTCCAAAGGCTCCCCGAGGCTGGACATGGAATCTTGGTCTGCCATGAGTCTCAGTTGCTTGTAGCTTGGCGAAAAGTCCCCCGATAGTTGTTGGATATAGCGCTGGCTTGTGCTCAGGATTTCTTCAAGCATTACAAGGGGGAGATCCAGGTGTGTGTCGCCAGCGACAAGAGCTTGTGTGGGAACCTCGCAGGCTCCGGTCAGCTTCATGGCATGGTCGAAGGCGCGCACAATCAAGAGCGTGTAGACAAGTGCGCGAACATTGTGGAGACCTTTTGCGAAAAGATCTTCGGGACAGACTACGTGTGGATCCATCACCAGTTTCAGGATATTTGTGGCCAAGCATCTTTCAAAAGAAGAGACGGAGTCAACATCGTAAGCTATGCTGCTGTCAAAACATATCGAGGAGCAGCTGATTCGATTCTCGGCCGTGTCTTCATCACATTCCTCGTCCTGCTGGTCTTTGTGTGGGTCATGTTGATGATAAGTGAATATCGCATGATCTACAACTTCTTTTACGTGGTTTGGAATACACGGTCAACCGACGACGCGGACCCCGACTTTGTGGCCCTAGCCGGCTCGAAGTTCACTGTGATGAAGCTACCCATCGGCCACAAGATCTTCGCCTTGGCTTGCATAGCTCTGCCACGGATTGTGATCGCCTCTGTGGTCCTGGTCGTTGGCTGCAGCTTTCTGGCGATGACCAACAACTTGCTGGATCTTGTGCTGAACAGCACGGCCCTTGGCTTCCTCATTGAGGTGGACGACTTGATCCACCATGCCTTGTTAGGCAAAAACTTCGAGATCCAAGTGATGCGCCACTTCGAAGAAATTTCCGTTGAATGCCAAGTGCACGGAGCATCCAGCTCCTACGCAGCTTTGATTGTATCGCTGCTGATTACGGGAGTTTTCGTCACATATACATACTTGCGCCCAAACGGATTGCAAGATGTTGGCTATGGTGTGGAATGTCTGTGTCACCTAGAAGGTAATTGCTACGCACAGCGGCTGCTGCGCGGGGTATAGAAAATTTTCGTTCCCTAGGACCTAGACTGCTCGCGGCCGCATGAATGCGAACTGCAAAGATCAGCACGCGAAAAAGGGCTGCTGAGATGCCCAATGGGTCAGATTCTGGGACCTTTGAGCTCATGCTCAGACATGGGGTTTGGCCGTTTAGGGTTGATGCAAAAAGGGCAGTTTAGGGATTAGGGAGTAGGGCATGGCCGTCCGATGGCAGAGTATGAAGCTTTGCCACATGCAGAGACTTCAAACCTTGTTGACCTGCGAGGTTCAGTCTATCGTAACACTGTAGTGGTGAGTTGTCCAGTTTGTTGACACATGTTTGTTGCTGTTCGAAGGTACAGATGGCCTTCAAAGTTCGCTGGCGCATCATAGCCCATAAGGCAGTATAAACTCCATCCTTTCCTGAAGAAGGCGTCGGCCCGCGTCGGGGTTGAATTGAAGGGGAGATGAGATGCATCGGAAGCTGTTGCCGACCAGCCTACTTCCTTGTTGCAACCAAGCTCTCTGCAACAGTTTTGTGTTTTGTGACAAAAAGCGCCGCGCCCAAGAAGGAGGGCGAGTTGTTGTTGCCGCTTGATTCGTTTGGCCTGCTAAGAACGGAAGAAGGGAAAGCCAAAAACTCCGTGGCATCGAGCAGTTAGCCACCACTACCCTGGTACCCTAATGTCTGAATTCGAAGCCCTCTTACCCTGTCCAGATGTAGCTACTAGCACCTGAACCCTTTGGCGTTTCCCCCCCTCCACCCTCCAACGAAAAGCAAGCAAAAGGTAAAAGGTTCGTAACAAGGCAAAAGAAACCCTAAGCCCTGAACCCTAGACCCATACTTATCTATGTGTAGTACAGTATATACATAAATATAAATATACATATATACATGTATATATAAATACACATACATACATACATACATACATACATACATACATATATAATATATCTATATATATATATATTTATTTATATTGTTTTTGCTTGTTATATTTAGTATATGTGTATGTATATATATATATACACGCAGCACCTTAAACTTGGGACCCTGAAGCGCCAACCCAGGCAGTCGGCCCTTGACTTGGCCATCGCGGGGCCCTCGGGTGTAGTTTTTTGACTTTGCAGGGCCTCAAAGGTTCAACCTGGGTTTAGGGTAGGGGATAGGGGCTTATAGGGCTTGATAGGGATTGGGACCTAGGGCAGGGCGTTGGATTTGCGGGAAGCGCCGGCGAGCAAAGCTCGCTGCTCGGATCTGCACCCTTCTGAATCTAATTTCCTGAATCTATCTGCAGGTTCGGGACGGTGCCATTGTATTTCCAAGCGCAATGCCCATACGTACAGTACTTTCTCCACATTCCGATTTGCATGTTTTTTCCCTCATATGTTTGCAGGAGATGTACAAGAAGCTCAGTGACCACGACCACCAGGTGGAGGCGGCCGTAGGACTTGCGATAGCGACGATGATTGTGGAAGTGACGATGTTTGAGGATGACGGTAAGGATGATGCAGGTAGTGGTACTGACTAGTAGTGACTTATAGTAATGATTATGACGATGTCGATGACGAGGGGGGTTTGAGTCCGCATTACCGCAGGCCCCTACATCAGCTCCGAGGTGATGTGTTACCACAGGTACAGGTGAAGATTGATTCGGCACTTGCAGCGTGGAACTTTGCCTTGCCAGTCGTATTGGGGGGCCAACGGTCGATAGGGTTCGAGGTGATTTTGCTCAGGGCCTGTCAAGCAACTGTACCCGTTGTCAGCACCAGAAATCGCAACCGTTCGTGCTCAGCAAAGTAGCCTTGACCGCTTTGCGCAACCACACCGGGAAAAGACAGCACAGCAGAAGCCGATAATCTGCTATCACTTTCTGAGCCCCACGCAATGTTCAAAATCACACACTAATGCTTATCGTCTTATGGTCTTAGCACCCTCTCCCCCGAGGTAGCCTTTTAAGTTGTGCTTCATGAGAGACTACTGTCTGCAAAAAAGCGCAACAACCGAGAAACAAATTCTAGCCTCATCTTTGCACTCGAGCCTGGTCAATACTAATACCGACTAATACCAATGGGCTTTTAAAGCCGGGCAGCACGCAGTACGCAGCATCCTGCTTGATTCTTTAGGGGCCTATGTCCTGGCATGAGGTTGTAAGTCAGTTTCACCAAGCATCCATGTTGGCATGAATTCATAAATACAGTTCCCTTCCCGAAGTCGGATATGGCAGATGCCATCTGACATCCGAACCCCTGCTATGATTTCTGGTTGTACAAGCTCTCTTGCTCTTACATACGTATACGAAGTATTGCTTGCATCTGGTGTCGCGGCGACGAAGGTGGGTTCGCCGAGTTTTATTTTGGGGACACAGCGTTTTCTCTGGCTTGAAACATGTCGCATGTGTGCGCCCGGCCCGAAGTATCTCGATTTTGTGGTTGCTGAAAGCCTGTATGGCATTCATTTGCTCGGCTCGACCAAAGGGTGTAGGGTACACTTAGGGGCACTAGGCGGTTGACAGGGCTTTCAAACATTGGCTCTCCCGCTTTCCGAGCAGTCAGATCATGTCACTTGCTCAGTTGAGCCGACGGCTTCAAGAAACCATCGACTACCTGGCCAACCAGCACAATGTCATCAGCTACGAATACGTGCCTCTTCCAAATCTGCTGTGCCCATTTCAGAGACTCAATGTCTTCCAGCTGAGGCAGATGACAGACAAACATACAGATACTGTATACATATATATAACCACATATAAACGATAATGGTAACAATAATAGTAATAATTATACTTATAGTGTGCGTATACATATACACATGTATTCCTCCTCCCGGCGGTGCTTTAAAGGGGGTGGTTTGTCATCGGGGGGGGGGGGGGCATATATACTGTAT